TTTAAGACTCAACATGTAAGTGAGATCATGCGATATTTGTCTTTCCATGTCTGGCTTACTTCACTTAGCATAATGGCCTCCAGGTTCATCCATGTTGTTGCAAATGGCAGGATTTCCTTCTGTTTTATGGCTGAATAATATTCTATTGTGTGTGTGTGTGTATCTATCTCTCTGTATTTTTTCTTTACCCATTAATCTGTCAGTGGACACTTGGGTCATTTCCATATCTTGACTTAGCCCCTAATTTTTTAAGGCTTCTATTCTTTGGCTTCCATTTTCCTTTATAGCACAGTTATCTCACCAAGTGGCAGAAAGAGTAAATCATTACACAATCAGTATAAAGAACCCGTACCTTTGCCGACAGTGCTACATTCAAGTAACAAGTGCCATTTTAGTTTTTAAAAACATCATCACTTATCATATTAAATTGGTGTTTGATTCTATGGATAAGTTTTGACATTACCTTTGTAAATAGTTTTAAATTTGTTGTATTTTAGTTACGTGATATAGAAGCTTAAGGAGTTTATGCCTATTAAATTTCTACATATTGGAATAACATTATAGTAAAAATAGTTAAGACACCTGGGAGAACGGGTTGCAAGAATTTCTTTTCTTTAAAAGGGATCAGTACACTATTAAAATGTGAGAAACATCACTATAAAGTCAATGAGGGTGGGGACTGTATCATATTTACTCTTGTAGTCTCAGGTCCTAATTCTGTGCCTGGTGCATAGTAGTTATGCAGTAAATATTTTTTGAATTACGGAATGCTTACCTCTCATGTATAAATACATGCACTTTTGGTGCTTCACTTTCTTCAGGGTGGGCTTCGAGTATCATCCTGAGGATTTCCCAACAAGTCTATCAAAATCAGTTGAACTAAGAGTTTTGCCTGATTTTCTTTTTTCTCACCTTCATGATCCTGATCATAATACTTTAAAAAAATTAAAAATAATTACTCACTTTGAAAATGTGCCAGTATAAAGTAGCACTGAGCTGTAATCTTCTCTTTGAATTGATAGCACAGAAACTTTCATCCCAACATAGGCTGACCAATAGATAAAACTTGTGCACATTTATTTAGGAAAATAATGTATTTTTATATCATATTGCTTATGTTTTCTTTTGCTTTTCATTTTGAAATAATTTTAAACCTATAGAAAAGTTGCAGAAATTGTATAGAGTTCCCATATGCCTTTCACTCAGTTTCTCCCAAGATTGACAATATGTGCAATTATCAAAAAAAGAAATTAACATTGGTTCAGTATTATTAACTAACTTTTAGACATTATTCAAATGTCACTAGTTCCACTAATGTCACTTCTCTGTTCCAGGATCCATTCCAGGGTTCCACAATGTGTTTAGTTGTCATGTCTCCTTAGTCTTCTCCAGTCTGGGACAGCTCATCAGTCTTTCCTTGTCTTTCGTGAACTTGACACTTTTGAAGAGTTCTGGTCAGTTATTTTGCAGAAATACTTAATTTGGACTCGTGTAATGTTTTCTCATGGTTAGATTGAGGTTGTGCATTTCTGCCAAGAATACCACAGAAGTGATGTGCTCTTCTCAGTAGATCATCTCAGGGAGAACGTGATGTTGATATGTCATGTTACTGGTATTGTTAACACTGATCACTAGGATAAGGTGTTGTCTGCTGGGTTTCTCCACTATCGTGGTACTGTTTTTCTCTTGATGATTAATAAATATCTTTGGAAAGGTATTTGAGACTGTACAAATATTCTGTTTCTCCTCAAAATTTCAGCTGCTCAGCTTAGGACCCATTGGTGGGTCTAACTTACTGTGGTGTTCTAATGGTGATTTTCTCTTTCCTTTACTGCTTCTACATTTATTGTTTGGAATTCTTCTGTAAGGAAAAGCTATCCCTTTCCGCTTATTTGTTTATTCATTCAGTTATTTATTTATGCAAGTATGGACTTGTGGACATTTTTTTATTCAGAATTCAATACTATTGTCCTTTCTGTTGCTTAAATTTTTGCAGCTTTGGTTATTGGGAGCTTTTTCCAGCTGGTTCCTGTGTCCTTTGACATGCCTTTTTTTGAGAACTTCTTTACTTTCTGCTACCACAAGACATTCTAGTCGCATGTTGTTTTTCTCTGCCTCAGCATTTTAATCAACTGCTTCTGCAGGGAACCCTGGTTCCTTTAATGGAGAATCGTATTTAGAAACTGAGATCTAAGTGCTAGGTGTGCTCACTGCTATTGGGATGTCATTGCTCCTCAGCCTTCTCAGTGGACAGAGCTAGGAAATATACATATACTAATCCGTGCATATATATAGGTCCATATTTATTTCTGTGTCTATCTGTAAAATACAGATATACATATCTGTTTTAAAGGCCGCAAGTTAATGTGGATGCCTCCAATTCCTATCCAGTACCAAAGGATTTCTTCTAGCCTTCCCTCTTTCCTAACTTCTTTCTGACAGTGATAAGTATCTATAATATATTTACTTATTTGTTCAACTCTGTTGTACTCATAAGGTACTCAAATACTCAGTAGTGCCAATCCTGAGAATATAAAATAGCTAACTGCAGTGTGGCGTTTGTGTACAGTTCTTTTTCCTTTAGCTTTAAGAGTATCTAATCAAATACTGTTTTCCAAAGTTATGTTTATTTTGTAATACAGTCGGGTTCATGTATTAAAGTTCGTATTTCATTTTGGGTCCCTTTCCACCAATCTTGGTTGATTTAAAAAAAATTTTGTTAAATAAAATTCATTTTTGTGTCACATATTTCTGTGAGTTTTGACAAATGTACAGTTGTGGCTCTATCACCACAGTCATGAGAACTGTCACCCCACATGCTTATGTTTTGGAAGAGAATATTAAAAATTGTTTGGTACTTAAAATTCATAGGATAATCTTTGTGTGGATTTTACTAATGTTCTAATCTGGTTTGAGTAGTCACATTAGGAGAGAAACTTGTTTGAATCATCAAGCAATTGGGATACTAAAAGAGAATAGGAGGGAGACTTCACTTCTTAATGGAACCATCGTTTGTTATTCATCGTGGTGCTAGAACATGGATTTTTTCCTCCAAGTTTTAAAGAATTGAGATTTTTCCTATGGTAAATTGAATCTTTCTAAATAAAAATAATTCACAAAATATAATCAAATATATACTTTGAAAACATTATTTTCTTATTGTCACTCTCCCCTCCTCCTTGTTCACCCTTATAAGCCAAAAGAGGATAATTTAGAAGTGACAAAATCTTATCCTGGTGCTGTTTTAATTTTGATTAGTATAGAAGGAATTATATTGCATACATTTTCATCTATTCTGTAGGACAAATTAAATTATATTCATGAGTAGATCAAAGACAAAGGACATGAGAACACTAGTGAGAGAGAGAACTTGTATGCAGAATGTGGAAAACTGTTTAATTTTGCCAGAAAATAACAGTGCAAATTGAAACAATGAGATACCATTTTCACCTACTAAGTTGGGGGGCGGAGAGAGAGAGACAGAATGGATATAAATGAGAATGAATCTGGTAAGGGTGTAGTGAAACTCACTCTGATACATTAACACGTTGCAGGTAGCATTAGCATTTTACACTGATTCAGGGCTTTTAAGGAGCATGGTAAGAACAGAAATACCAATAGCGAGTCTGTCAGACTGATGCACACTGATGGGGCTGATGGGTGTTTTCTTCTTAAAAAAAATTATTTTCCAGATTATCTGCAATAGGAAAACTACTTATAATTGGGATTTTACCTTTTCCAAGGCATGATTGTGTAAAACTTATATTTTTACATTGGTATTAAACTTGACTGTGTACCCTGATATCTGTAGCACAGTGGTTGTCAAGTTGCACGGTCTCAATAGTCGGGAAAAGGAGAGATTTGTATTTGCTTAATTCTGAAGGAGTTTACTTCAGCCACTTTATGATTATGCATTTTTTTGTTGTTTTTGTTTTTTAAGGGCAGATGTAACTTATCTAGTCTCTTTTTAGTAAGAAATATTCCTCTCACTGTGGGATTTTCATTGAGAGGCCTGATCAGGCCAGTAAATGAGCTTAATATTACCTCAGAGGTGGAAAGCCTTTGGGAAATATGAGTGCCAGCCTTGTTTACCTGCTTGTTTAGTTTAACACAGGTGTTGGTGGGATGGAAGCATGTGTGGAGACTCTGTTACAGTAGGTACTTCTTATGGGAAGTGAGTTCTGGATCTGGCCTTGGAAGTCTTGAAGCCTTAAAAAAAATCTAGGAACAATATAGTCCTGCCATAGATATTTTAGAATAGATGGATAGGTTTTTCTTAGCTAATTGTAGTGTTGTGTCAGAATCCAACTATGAGAGTGTCAGGGTCAGCTACCCACATCCACCACCCAGAGGTTGGCTGTTGTTGACAAACTGATGTATATTTCCATCCTGTCTTTTAGGCATATGTAGCAGAACTAGATTTTTAACTCCTAAAAGGTCAATAAACAACCTACATTTAGTGTTTGACTTGGTCTGATTATGTCTTCACATTCATTATGTGATTTAAAGAGTGTATTGATTGATATTATTGGGAGACAGTGGATCTCTCATGTTTCTGCACATCTGAGCACAGGCATTATCTGGACTGTCTTTTCAAGGATATTGTTGTATAAACAGCCTTGAAAGGTAAAGATAAGATCTCATTCCAGGTCTGAGTCAGATTTGTTTCTTGTCCAGGATAATAAAGATAATTTTTCCCTCTAGGGCAAAGGTTGGTTAACAGTACCTTTAAAAAATTGAGGTTTCCTAAGCTTTGAGTCCTTCAGCTGTGACATAAACCCATTGAGTATCATCCACCTGGGCTACTCCACACCAGCCTCTTGGGACTTGGGTGACAACATGAAGCTCATACTGCCCATTGTGCCACAGGAATGGATAAAGATAGTGTGGTGTGTGTATTATATGTGTGTGTGTGTGTGTGTGTGTGTGTATATTTATATATAATGGAAAATTATTCAGCCTTGTAAAAGAAGGAAACCCTGTCATTTGTGACAACGTGGATGAACCTGAAGGTTCATCCTAAGGTTGAACTAAGTGAAATAAGCCAGACAGAGAAAGAGAGATACCTCATGGTATCGCTTAAATGCAGAATCTAAAAAAACAAAAAGTTGAGCTTGTAGAAACAAAGAGCTGAAAAGCGATTGCCATGGGCTGGGGGGTATGAGGAGGGTGGGGGAACAAGGAAAGGTTGGTAAAAGGGTACGAACTTTCAGTTATAAGATGAATAAGGTCTGAGCATCTAATGTATAACATGGTGACTATAGTTAATAACATTGTATTGTAAAATTGAAATTTGCTGAAAGAGTAGAACTTGCATGTTCTCACCAAAAAAAAAAAAAAAAGATATATGTGAGGTGATGGATGTGTTAATTAATTCGATGGAGGGAGTCTTTTCACAATGTATATGCATATCCAGTTATCATGTTATTCACTGTAAAGATCTTACAGTTTTGTCAATTATACCTCAATAAAGCTGGAAAAAAAATAAGCCTTACCAGAAAAAAAAAAATCTCTGATTTAGGATTCTTGTTTCTGCCAGCGTCCATGAAACTTTGGCTGGCTTCCTTGATAACTTGGAAGTAGAGTAAAATCTTCTACCTTTCACAGTTGTTTAATGCCTTGATAGATACGTATTGGTGTAATTATGTGATTTTTTTTTTTAAAAAAGAAAAAATAGAGTAAGATAATTATAGAAATTCAAAGACTAATAAAAGGAAAGTGTGTGTTTGTGGTGTGTGTTAATGTGTAGATTTGTATATAATGAGAAAAGTATATTAAAATACTCTAGGAACTGGCAGATAATTAACTTTCTTAGACCAGTTCCCTTCTGCCCTCATTAGTGGATTACCCTGCTTGATTTCCAGTCTGGAGGTTCTGTCTTTGCATAGAAGGGTCACAGTCCCTGTAAATAAAATATTTATATATATTATATATGTTGTTATTTTAAAATTTGTTCAAGGCTCAGAAGAATTTGTAGGTACTAAATTGACTCACTGAATGTTATGGTAAACAATTGAAGATTTTAAAATAAATAAATAAATATATAACAGTTTAAGGCAAACCCTAGTAAAGTATGCTTAACATGAAAAATACCCTCACTTTGCTTCTCAGAATTAAAACTAAAAATAGTAAAAATCCTTCTACGTAGTTTTCAGCTGTTTTGTGTGTATTGATGAGGCACAGCAGTATCTTCTAAAATAAGTTTTATTTAACTTTCAGTTTGGCTATAATTTTTCTTTTTCCTATGCTTAGCCTGCCATTGTATGCTTATCTGAATGTGCTCTCTGTCAAATTACTAATTCAAGCATTCTGCTCTTTGACCAGGTTATTCTCCTGCCCTTCCTTCTCTCTTCCATTCTTTAGATTTGTCTTTTTCCTTCCTCAGGTAGGTGTAGAGCACTTCAACAAGTATTTTACTCTAACTCCGGGTAAGATACCTGCCTCCTCTTCTGTCTTCTTTGTCGTTTTTTTCCCTAGCTTTATTGAGTTATGATTGATACACAAAAAATTGAACACATTTAATGTATACATCTTGATGAGTTTGACTTACTGCACACATCTGTGATACCATCACCACAATCAAAATACTAAACACATCCATCACCTTCAGAAATTCCTTTGTGTTCTTTTGTCTGTATGTGTTTTGTGGTATGAACACTTAATATGAGATCTATCCTCTTAACATATTTTAAAGTGTACAATACTGTATTATTAGCTATAGGTACTGTGTTGTACAGCAGATCTCTAGAACTTACTCATCTTGCATAACTGAAACTTTATACTCATTGAGCAACAATTCCCGGTTTCCCCTTTCCCCCAGCCCCTGGCAGCCACCATTCTGTTGTCTGCTTCTGAGTTTGACTCTTTTACATACCTCATGTAAGTGGAATCATATAGTATTTGTCCTTCTGTTACTGGCTTATTTCATTTAGCATAATGTCCTCTATGTTTATACATATTGTTGTAAATGGCAGGATTTCCTTCTTAACACTGAATAATATTCCATTGTGTGTGTATATATATCTCCCTGCACACAGTTACCACATTTTCTTTATCCATTCATCTGTCAGTGGACATTTGGGTTGTTTTCTTATCTTGGCTATTGTGAATATTGCTGCAATGAACATGGGGGTGTAGATATCTCTTTGAGATTCTGGTTTCAGTTCTTTTGGATTTATGCCCATAAATGGGATTGCTGGGTCATCTGGTAGTTGTATTTTTAATTTTGGGGGGAACCTCCATACTGTTCCATAGTGGCTGCACTGTTCTACGTTCTGCCCTTCTTGCATACATGCCCAGTCTCTGTGAGTGATTCGTGAGGAGCCACTTTACTTGAGAGGGAGGGGAAAGAGATTACATTTCTCTCTAAATTCTAGTGTGCAGCTTGCTTAAATGGCACAGTTCAAGCCTTTCTCCCCTGACCGCTGATGCTTGCTTGGTTTTCCAAGGGCAGGGAATTTCTTTTCTTGTAGGACTACAACCCCACAGAATTTTTACTTCTCAGACTTTTTCAAGTAAAATGAACGATCTGAAGACTAAGAGCATTCTCTACAGAAGTTAGAGTGTTAACTTCCTTCCACCCTCACCCCTCACCTCGGAACAGAATGTTACCAGCATCCCAGCTCCGTTTGTATTGTGTCAACAGTCACTGTGCCAGCCCACCGTCCCTCTGCCTGCTCCAGATTAGCCGCTGTCCTGACTTTTAGCACAGTAGATTAATTTTTCCTATTTTTGACCTTAATATAAATGGAATCATACAACACTCTTTTGTATATAAGTTGCTTTCACTCAGCTTTGTGTTTATGAGATTCCTCCATGTTGTTGGATGTTAAAGCTTAGAGGGAAATTTACACTCGAGTTGAGGCTCACCGATTCAGCCTTGCTAGTGAGGATGGTGGTGGGGCTACAGTTTTGTTTTCTGTGGTGTTTGGCTAGACTAGAGCAGTTGTTATTTTTTTTGTCTTATTAGGTTGGCCCTTTCCTCATCCTTTGGGTAGAGACAGCAGGCTTTTCTCGGGGCTTTTTTGGTCTGTGGCGTTTGGTGTTCTTGGATTGCCGACTTCTCCAACAACCAGCCTGGGATAGGTGAGGTGGAAAGAAAGCCCAGGGAGCTCACCGCCATGTCATTCTTCATTCCTGAGGTTCCTAGCCAGTCCTTCTCTCCACTTTTCAGAGCCTTTGTATGCTTGTTTTGTGTATAATGACCAGAGTTTTTAGCTGTATTTAGTGGGAGGATTAGGGAAAAGCATGTCTATTTCATCTTTCTGGAAGTGAAAGTCTGTTTTGCTTTTGATATCTGTTTTATAAACCTTTGCGATCATTAGGAAAAATAAAATGAAATATTTTCTGCATATACGGTCAATTAACAATGAATATATTCACCAAAACAAGAACTTCTAGCAGAAATTAATTTTGGGTAAAATATAATCTCATGTCATTCTGTTTATATGAAATACAAACTGAAGGGCTTTAACTCTGTATAAATTTAAATTCCTATGTTTAATTGCAGAATCTTTTAGCCGAAAAAGTAGAACAGCTGATGGAATGGAGTTCCAGGCGCTCAATCTTCCGAATGAATGGCGACAAATTCCGAAAATTTATAAAGGCGCCACCGCGAAACTATTCTATGATTGTTATGTTCACTGCTCTTCAGCCTCAGCGGCAGTGTTCTGTGTGCAGGTAATTTCTGTATTAAAAAATATTTAAAAACTATGATCCCATGCTTATATATTTATTTTATTACATTTAAGATAAATGTGTATAGTAGAATTAAACAGTTGTTCAATGTGGTAGTCAACTGTAACTATGTGCGTTTAAAAGTAAGTTCAGAATCATTGTATTTTAGAAAATAACTTTGATAGGCTAATATTCTTATATTGTATAAAATATTTATTGACCAATCCACATGTAATCGTAAAACAGATTTGTTTCTTTATGTCCTGTATAAAAGTAAATATGTGATAGAATTTGTTTCAAATATTGCCTTGTAGGTCACCTAATTATATCTTATGGGCAATGAAGTAACCCTTAAACATATTCTATTTTAACAGATTAATAGAGAGGACACACTTTTACCTAGGGAAGTCCATTTACTTTTCAATACCTCCAGTGAATAGAAATTTCTTCTATAATATAGAAGTAAACAATTTGAAATGAATGAAATATTTTTCAGTAGGAACATACTAAACATTTTGGACAAGTGCAAATATAATACATGTGCAACAATGCTTTTTTTAAATTAAACTTTTTATTTTGAGATAATTATAGGTTCACATGCAATTGCAGGAAATAATACAGAGAGATCCTATATACTTTTTACCCAGTGTCCCCATTGGTAACATCTTGCAAAACTACAGTACACGATCACAAGGAGGATATAGGTATCGATACTGTTAAGATACAGAACAGTTCCATCACCATAAGAATTCCTCCTGTTGCCCTATGTAGCCACATATCCCCCCATTCTGCTTCCCACGTCCTGAATTTGTTCTCTATTTCCATAATTTTGTCATTTCAAGAATGTGATGTAAATGGAATCATACAGTATATGACCGTTTGGTTTTGTCTTTTTTTATTTACCGCAGTTCCCTCAAAATCCATTCAAGTAGTTGCATTTATCAGCAGTTTATTCTGTTTATTGCTGAGTAATGTTCCATGGTATGGATGTACTACAGTCTGTTTAACCATCTGTTAAAGGACATCTGGGTTGTTTCTAGTTTTTGGCTGTTACAAATGTAACTCCTATGAACATTCTTGTACAGGTTTTTGTATGAACTTAAGTTTTCATTTCTTTGTGATAAATGCCAAAGAGTGTGACAACTGGGTTGTTTGGTAGTTGTGTGTTGAGCTTTGTAAGAAACTGCCAAAATGTTTTCTAAGAGTAGCTGTATGATTTTACATTCCCACCAGCAGTGTATGAGTGATCTAGTTCTTCCATTTCCTCACTGGCATTTTGTGTTGTCACTATTTTATTTTAGCTATTCTGCTAGGTATCTAATGATATCTCACTGTGGTTTTATTTTGCATTTCCCTAATGGCCAGTGGTGTTGAACATCTTTTCATGTGCTTATTTGTTATCTATGTATCACCTCTTTGGTGTGATATCTGTTCATATCTTTTGCCCATTTCTAATTGGATTTTTTTAAGCTGCGTTTTGAGAGTTCTTTATATATTGTAGATATTAGTTCTTTGTCAGATATGTGGTTTTCAAATATTTTCTCCTAGTCTATGGCTTTTCTTTTCATGCTCATAACAGGATCTTTTGCAGATTTCAATGTGATGAGTCCAATTTATCAGTTTCTCCTTTTACAGCTGTTATTTTTGCTGTCAAATTGAACTCTTTGCCCAGCCCTAGATCCCAAAGTTTTTCTCTTATGTTTTTTCTAAAAGTTTTATAGTTTTACATTTTGATCTGATCTTTGGGAGAGCACATTCAGTCTTTCTTCATTAAATATGATATTAACTGTAAGATTTTTGAAGATGTTCTTTGTCAAGTTGGGGAAGTTCTTCTTTTCTGGTTTGCTGAGAGTTTTTATCATGAACGGATGTGGGATTTTGTCAAATTTTTTTGGTCTGAATTGATATGAGTTTTCTTCTTTAGGCTGTTGATATGGTGGCTTACATTGACTTTTTAATGTTGCACCAGCCTTGCTTTTGGAATCAATCCCACCTGATTGTGGTATATTATTCTTTTTATGTATTGCTGGATTCTGTTTGCTGTTATGCACCCCATAACAATGTTTTGGTCAACGACGGACCACGTATACAACGGTGGTCCCATAAGGTTAGTACCCTATAGCCTCGGTGTGTAGTAGGCTATACCATGTGGGTTAGTGTAAGTTCACTCTATGGTGTTTGCACAAAATTTCCTAATCACGCATTTCTTAGAACACATCCCTGTCATTTAGCGATGCCTGACTGTATTTTGTTGAAGAATTTTACATCTAAGTTCATGATATTGATCTGTAGTTTTCATTATTTATACTATCTTTGTCTAGTTTTGGTATCAGGGTAATACTTAGCCTCATAAAGTAGTTGGGAAATGTTCCCTCCTCATTTATTTTCTGGAAGAGATTGTGTAAAATTATACAGTTTTAGAAGATTGTGTTAATTCTTCTTTAAATGTTTGACAGAATTCTCATCTGAGTCTGGAGATTTTAAATTACATATTTCATTTCCTCAATGGTTAAGGACATTTCAAGTTGTCTATTTATTCTTGGCTGAACACTTTTTCTTTTCAAGAACAAACACTTTTTATATGGTGGCTCCACATCCCAACTCTACGTATATTTATCTATAGACTTTATTCAGATGTCTAAATCATTTTGAATTCTAGTGGAGACTGAAGTTAATAGTAACATGGTTCAGTGAAAACAAAGAAGAGTTTCACTCAGACTAGTTTGCAGAATGGGAATTATAGTGTTCTGAAGTTTTCAAGAAGGATCTTATCTTAACCTAATAATGAGTATATGTTGGGTCATGGTTAAAAGTGGATAGAGAAGATGATGAGCAAAAGTATTTTGAAAAACAGCACTTCAGATGATTCTGAGTTCCTTTCCTATCCAATCTGAGTACTCAAGTGAGCATTAACACTGTTGTCAGAATTGGGCTAGCACGTATAGATACGGTATACATACCTTAAGGGATGCTGTAAAGCCCTACTCAGATAAAAATACCACCTAATTGGCATTTTGGTGTAACAGTTCAGTTTCCACTAAAAATACAAAATTTCTTTTTGAATCTTATTTTACCATGTAGATTTTAGGGAAATCATTTGTTTGCTTCTAAAAATTGAATATATTGATTTCCTGTATTTACCACTATTAAGAAATGTATTTAAATGATCATTATTTTTTTTTGCAACTGTAATCTAGAAAGACTTTATTATTCAAGTATTGATTTCACAGTTACATAAAATTGTATGTATTGGGATAACATAAACAATACTGTTAAATGGTGCATCTTTTAGGCATTATTTTACTTAACTTATTATGTTGTTAAATGAATTGTTAAATATGGAGGCTTAATTTTTTAATGACACCTAGATCAAAATAACCTTTGTTTGTTTATTAGGGCCCATTTTATAGTAAACCTTAAATTTTAGAATAGTTTTAGACTTATAAGAGAAAAAGATTGAAGTTATTAGAAGTTAAGATAATTCATGGATCAGGGTGGGAGTAGGGTTGTTAGAGAAGAAAGAAAGAAAGAACAGGTGAAGATTTAAAGGCAAATAAAAAATGTAGAGCAGATTTATTGTTCCCCTACCCAGATATCCTGATTTAATTGTCTTAGAATGGGGCCAAGGTATTGACATTATAAAAAAATATGATCTAGGTAATTCTAAGCTGCAGCCAGTATAGAGAAAGGGAAGGTAAGAAGCAGGTTCATGATTCATAGCTTTTATTTATTTATTCTCCTTGAGGAGCAATGGGTATGGGAAGGCTTAACTAACTGGATGGCCAGATAGCATTGAAGATCCTTTTAGAAACTAGAGTACCCAGATTCTTAGTGAAGAATGTATAGAATTAAATGATGTTCTTCCTCAATACCCAGCAATTTAGGAGCAAGAACACCCTCCTTAGGCATTAACATTGGTTTATGGTATGAAGTGAATTATGCAAATGATTTGAGAGTGCTAGGGGGAATATATTTGAAATGTGTAACTATGGGTTCAAAGTTGGATAGGGGGTCAAAGGAAGCCAAGGGACAAATGGTAAACTAGGTGTGATGTAATTAAGCTAGATTTTCATGGGTGAAGAACAGGTTTGTTGAAAAGTAGGGTGGAGTCAAAAATTAGGAAGTTATTGTAAAGGGTTTATTTAATAACTGTGTAAATTTCTGAAGTATGATGTAGATGATTGTTGATGTTATAGAGCAGTTTGAGGAACAATAAGGATGTGGTAATGTCTAGATTATAAATATGGATGTTGCAGTTACTCAGGATGATAATGGAACTGGAGAGGAAACAATTAAGTGCACTGATAGAGGGATGCCTTTGGAGTTTGTTACATGAGGATGATAAATTTATGTTATAGGATAACACAAATTTCAAAGGAGGATCTGCTAAATAAGTGTGGTTCAGCAGTGGTCTGAAATCTACTATTATTGAGCCAAGAAAGTACTAACTGTGACCCATATGATGGTGGGCAGACTGGATCAAAGAGACCTTAAGGTAACAACTAAAATGAAAGGTAAAAAAGAGTTTCAAGAAAAAATTTTAAGAAAAAATATTCAAATTATATTCTTGTATTATAAGTTAAGCCTCAGAGGGCTTTGTAGGGAATTGTAGATTCATTGAGAAATGCAACCTGTCATCAGTAGCCATACTTTTTATTTAAACATGAATTAAATCCTCCTGGGTCCTTCTATGTCAGTGTCATTTGGGGCCATTTCTATAATACTGCTATAATTTTTGTAATTCTATAGAATCATTGAAAAGTTCATAGCTGTAATTTTTAAATCTTAGTGCTTTCCTATGTGAGACTTTTCTGCTTTTTTCTTTTCTTTAAGAAAAAGTGAAGTTTTCTTCTAGATTAACTCACTTAGATTCTCCAGTTGCTTTTCTTTGTTGAAAGGCTGGTGACTGAGCTGTTGGCTTCCTCGTAAGCCCTCTCAGCAAATCATTCTGCTCTTCCTTCACACAGTCAGTTTATTCACAAATTTTAGAATTCAATTCTCAC